GGTTAGTGAGAAGGAGAAAGAGACCAGTAAAGGAGAATCCTCCAATCTCTCTGGCTTTTATTGGGAACTTAAAAATGAAGACAGACCTGTGCAATAATTGAGTACACTGACCAACTTTAATCAGGTATAGTCACAACACAGAAATGGATGGTCAAGAAGAGGGTGACAGCTTTCCTGCTGTGACAGTAGTTGACATTGGTGATGAGTACTGAAGTAATCAATGTTAGATGGTCAATAAGTTTCCTGACAGCCCACAGACCAGGCAATCAAGAATCTGGATAAAGAACTGAACTTTCATGAAACCAAATTACTGTAGTTTCTCTAGTTCAACCAAAATAGAAGATCTAGATAAAATGGTGTGACCCTGTCTAACAGGACTGTTGTTTTCCAGGTTTAAGATGTTCAGCCTGAGAGAAAAGGTGTGAGTAAAACTTGGTTCTATTACAAATCCCTAGTCTCTGGAGCACATGGCCATAAAGCCGGTCTCAATTTCTTATTTTTGGAGGGATTTTAATTACATCATTTCCACTGTCTTTTTCCCACCTCTGGGCTCCAGTGTGTCAGTCATTCCAGTCAGGGCCTTGACTACTCAGCAAGAAGGCAAAAGAGACAGAGGAATGAGTGTTCTAGTGCAGTCCGGGCTTTTATTGTGGAGTGGCAATGAGGAGTTGCTTGTGTAAGAATGGAAATTCATTGTTCACACATTGCAAGCTGTTATGGTCACGGTACAGAAAGGAAGACGTGGGAAGGATCCTTAAAATATTCCAGTTTTGTCTGCAGTTTGGGTTTCCAATGTGCTATCAGTTAACCAATTATAAGTGACCAATAAATGTCCTGAGTGGCCATTTTTTGGGCTCCACAGACTAGGTTCGTTGGCCAGAAGATTGACCTATCCCCATTGAAAGGTTATGTCTTTACCTGGGACAGAGATTTTATTCTCTAGACCAAGGACCATTCTCTCATAATTGGCCTTCTTTACCACTTTTACCTTACCTGCTTCCTAAGGCCCTCAGAATCACATAGCATCAGAGACCTGAGCTCCCAAAAACACTTTTGGCATCTTTGGCTTCTGTCAAGGATTAAACTGGTAAGAGTTCCATGACATTTCTGGCTTTTAGTCAAGAAAGCAACTAGTTACTCTTCTTTGTTTGTTTGTTTGTTTGTTTTTTTTGGTTTTTCGAGACAGGGTTTCTCTCTGTAGCTTTGTGCCTTTCCTAGAACTCGCTTTGGAGACCAGGCTGACCTTGAACTAACAGAGATCCACCTGCCACTGCCTCCTGAGTGCTGGGATTAAAGGCGTGCGCCACCACCGCCCGGCTCTTTGGGGTTTTTTATCCTAAACTGCCTAGTTGATTTCTACCTCCAGTTCTTATCCTACCTCCTCTGAAGAGGTAATCCTAACTACTGTGATGGAATTGGAGCAATGACTGATCTGACGTCTTCCAGCTGAATTTGGGGTACCAGGTGGCAGTATTGGGATACCTTTCCAGAGGTCCTCATGTAAAGATGAAATGCTTGGAAATAGACAGGAAAGGAATTCTTTTCGTGGTGTCTGGTAAGGACTAAAATGTACAAAGTCAACAAGACATTATTGATGGGATCACAGTATCCCCCATCTAATAGATGCTTCCCTTTGACCTCTACAGTTGGTCTCCAGAGTGATGAACCCACAATTACCTTTCACACCTTTTCATTGCTGTTTCATCACCCTAAAGTCAGCATGATGCCCTTCCCATGTGACTTCTGGATAGGGAGAGAAGAGTTATTTAGCATCATTTAATTTGGGGGTTAAAAAAAACTATGAACTTGTTTTCCTTGGCTGTGGGCAGGTGCTCACTGATTCAAGATCTGATGTCTCACATCTGGGCAACATCTTTTTGTGGAGAAGAGGATACAGTGAGATTGGCTGTCTAAATCACATCTCATGTGGACCTAATTCTAATGTCTCTGGACTGTGATCCCTTGGGTTGTGACCAATTCTTAGTCTTTGCTTAAACTTTCCTGCTGAGCATTGAAGACCATACAGGTGGCTAAAATTAATCTTTCTTTCTTTGCTGTCAAGGCCAGTTGAATAACTAGTCTTCCAGGGTCACTTGGATTTGAGAAGAACCTCAGACTCTTCTAGCCATTCTTTTACAGTTGTCCCTCAATGTGAGGATAAATCAAAGTTTTTGCTCTTTGTGCTGTGGCTTCCTTTGAAGCCTTGGGTAAATCTTTCCCACATTGGTTCTCCTTTCTGTAGACTGGACAATGTTTCAATTTCATTAAGTGGTGACTCCATGACCTCCATGAACAAGACAAGCAATCAATGACCTTAGTCCCCAGAGATCTCGTTGACCTTGTAGGGAAAGGGGGAAATATTCTCCCTTTTAGTTTCTCTAAACATAGCATAGCCTCCAAGAATGATTGTGAAACACCCAGGAGATCAGTTTTACACCATTTTGGTACTTTTAACTACTGTATACTATTTCAGTAGCCAAACATAACTCAATAAACTTTTGTTTGACACACATTTCAGCCAGTACTTGAAATAATTCATATCTGACCTTGCCAACTTTAATACAATATATGATCTCTAAATTTCAACCTTTATGTACTTTAAACAACTTACTCAGACCTTCATAAGTTTGCAAAGCTTTCCCATCTTTTTTATTCCAGAGCTATCCAGTCATTATCATCTTCATATATCTAAATCCTCTTCTAAGGCCATTTCCATGTTTACACTCTCCTAACATGTTTTATGTACCAGTTCCTTTTTCTAATTCTGTGAGACATAGTAACATTAACAAATATATTTATGATCTGTTGTAAGAATTTTCTCGCTGCTGGGGGTGGACAAGGCAATGTCTATTCCATCCCCATAAGTCCCAGTGAAAATGCAAATACAGTTTTACCGAAGTCCACCCTGGGGAACCAATGAGATCATTGAGCTTACTTACTGAACATGGTTGAGGAGATACAAGAGTTTGGATACTGTGATCATTTTAATAAAAATGGCCTCCATAGTCCCATTATTAGGAGGTATGGCATTGTTCGAGTAGGTGTGGCCTTTTTGGAGGAAGAGTGACAGAGTCACTACTTGCTGCCTACCAATCTGGATGTAGAACTTTCAGTTCTTTTTCCAGCACTATGTCTGCCTGCATGCCACCATGCTTCCTGCCATGATGATATGGGCTAAAGCCTTTGAAAAGGTAATCTAGCCCCAATGAAATGTTTTCCTTTGTAAGAGTTGCTGAAATCATGGTGTATCTTCACAGCAATAGATACTCTAAATTACCCAAAAGCAGTCACACAGGAATGTCTCTATGCATGTATGTACCCAGCATGTACTATGACTCTCCCATACCTGCGTATGTGGAACTCACCTTTCTCTGCCCATATACTCTAGCATTACATTACATTTCTTAGTGTGCAAAGGAGATAAGCCTGATAGCACTCAAGGTAAATTCCTTTTTAAAATGACTTTCTCATAGGTGCAAATGCAGAAACCACCTCCTCCCAAGTATTTCCAGGCTATGTACTCTAGTTCCTCCCCAAAACCACATGATCAAATGTCATTAGGGTTGAATTGTATGCACTTGGTTGGGAAAGAGGCTGTACACTCAGAAAGAGGGAATACCTTCTTCTATGATGGAATATTAATAGTCAGCAAACCTGGTGGTGGCCATCCTCTGTAAGCAGGCACAGCTGATCATAGGAAGGTGCCAATTGTTTGTCTTAAGGTAGTTCTGAGAAACAACAATTAAATAAAAGGATGCTGAATAGAAACTGTGTATAAGATAATGAAATAAGTTATTATTTCCTAGGTACAATCTGTTAAAGTAAACCTTAGAGAAAACACAAGACAGTCTTCATATAATATATGACATCACTACTATAACCATGCTTTTGGTTTTAGTGGGTGTATGATGGCAATACAAAGAAATAGCAAATACATAATGAGACATCAATGATTTGATGTGTACAGTCTCCAATACAACATAATTAAAAATCCCTCTTAAAACTATGATGCCCCAGTTTACTATAGAGAGATCTTTACACAGAGGATCTCTCTGTCTTCTCCATAGATCAGCATCCCATTACCTATTTTGATTACAGACGTGACCAATAACAGCATACATAAAAGGTGAGTGAAAGTTTATATCCTAGCATCCTAATCTCTAACAGCTCTGGTCAACATACTACTTATTTTCGGGTTATTTTAGAGGCAACACTCCTCTAGCTAAATTCTACTTTGTGTGACTATCTCTTCACACATTGGTAAATCCTTTATATCACCAATTATACTCTTCTACATCACTGCTTAGCAGTTGGTGTTACCCTGTATATGAGATGTCTTTTACAACCTCCACAAAATTAACTCCAAATGAATGTTACATCTAAATATCAAATTTGAAGTGCAGAACTTCTAGAAGACACTTGAAACTAGGCTTCTTTGAGTTTACAACCTCCTTAGGCCATGGAAGCTTTTTCCAAGACCTCAATGTATTGAGAAAGAAACAGAGCTCCTTCTCTAAAACCTGGAATATGCTTTGGAGAACTGGTAAAGGTCTGGGGCCAGGGTATTTGGGGAGGGGTGGCTTAATATCCTGAGAACCCACCTCCTTCTACAAATGGGGCTGTGGTTATTAGTCCCAAGGCCACTGTGGACTTTGTTTATAAAGTCCTTGAGTTACCCTATGTTCCTCTTGTGCAAAATTGTCTGATTAACCTCGTTCTGAATTTGTATACTTCTTTTAAAAACTGAACCCATTGGTTCACATTAATGAGAGACTTGTTGAATTTGGCACAAATCTCCAGCCAACTTGGGATAGTCTGTTCTTACATTGGAAGTCAGGGCTGGGAACTACTGTGCTTTGTCCTGTCAGCTCACCGGTCCTGTCACTCAGTCTTCACTATCCAATCAGAGCCCCCAATGGACCCGCCAGTCAGATGGGAGGGTACTTCCAGCAGCAAGGCTTCTAGCTCACAGCTCCTCTTTTGTGGAAGTCGGAAATTGTCCTGTGTGTTGTGCCTAGGCCCCCATCGTGGGGAGAGTTTGGGTCATCTCAGCAGCTGCATCATGGTGAGGGAGGGCCAGCTCTCCACAGATAGGGAGAAGTGGCTGGCCTTTGTTAGTGATAGGCCGCTGTCCTCAGGCGGGGAGGAGTCGCTGGCCATGGTGAGTGAGGGGCTGCTGTCCCCAGACTGGGTGGAGAAGGTGGCTGAGCTGTGGGAGCTGATGTGGTGGGTCCTTGCCTGGATGAATGAGAGCCAGTGGCTAGACACAGAGTTTGGCATATTCCTGCCGGTCCTGTGTGGTCCTTGCAACTTCCTGGGCCGGGGCGGCAACCTCTGAATAACCTCATTCGACTGGCTGCGTCTACAGAGAGCATTGGGAGCAAGACTGTGCTTAGAAAAATATCCTTGTTGTTGAGGTCACTGAAATGCCGGCACCACCAGTGCTTGTATTTTCAACATGGAAGGCAGATTTGCCAAACTCAGAGAGACCTAGTCTTTCTTTCAAGGATCTTCCAGAAGTTCTGAGGTTTTAACATTTAACATTTAGGTTTAGGGTCTCTCTGGAGTTAATTTTGTGGAGCTTGTAAACAGTATCTCCTGTGTAAAGTAGCACTCCACTGCTAAACTGTGATGTAGAAGAGTAGAATTTGTTATAATAGAATTGATAGTATAAGGATTTACCAATTTTTAGAAGACTCTAAGTTACAAAGTAGAATTTAGGTATAGGAGGGCTCCATCCTAAATACCCCAAAGATAAGTAATATACTAACCATGCCTGTTAGAGAATAGTATGGTAAAATGGAAATGTGTGTTAAGCAGGATTAACCAGGTATAAAGCTACATTTTCACAAGAAAGGAGACAACCCTAACTTTCAACCAGCAGAAAGGACCATCCCTCCATTAAAAAATAGGCCTCTCAATGCTGCTCAAGGGACCATTAAAGGGTCACAACCAACATTAAGTCCTGGTGTGCCGTGAAGATATATTAATTCTAGAACAGTTGACTCTCCAGTCTTTTTGAAAAGCAGTTTTGAGTCAAGGTCTCCAACAGTGATTGAGGTGGACTTGAACCCTGTCTGTAGCCTTACAGGGCATTGCCCTTCCTTTCCTCTTCACTAACCACCCTAAATTCTCAGATTACAGGTCTGCAGCACCAAAGAGTTCTACAGTTACCAATTTGAGTGACATAGTGGACTGTCCATTGCAGTAACAGAAAACGGATTTATGTGTGGAGCATGGCTTCTCCCTGCAGACCAGAAGAAGAGGAACAGTGTGCTCTGTACACTGCAGGGGAAAACAGACTAGACAATAGCTTGATCACAGACTGAAGTTGAAAGCAGTGAGCTGCAGGGGTCTCCATTACAAAGAAGGACTGATGGGGCAGGTGAGTGACTTTCTCTGTAATTTTCCTGCATGGATTAATTCCTTCTGTGTAAATGAAGACAGACAAAATTGGTTGTTGTACAATTTAGGAGGCATAGCTTGAATTATGGAGTATGCAGTTTCTAATTGGGATACTCTCCTTTGCAGATATGTGCAATTCTGGGTGACACAGTCAGCTCAGAGGTTTGAGACAAAGGCCATTGGCTGTAAATCTGTCAGCTTACACTACTCAATAGCTAACATTTTACATGGGAATAATTCACAGTTTATTGTTAATGACATTCTCTCTGCCAGGGAAGTGCCTATTCTGTTTCAAAGTCAGTATAGCTAAGTGTTCTTCCAGTTATTTTGTCATTTAAAACCCTCAATTATTGGTATTATTTTTAAAATTGCATTTTCTTTAAATGCACTACTGCTCTAATAATCTCTGTTTCTATTTTCAAATGTTTCCCATTTTTTTCTTAAGTGCTATTTATTTTATTTATATCAGTTTAGAGCAGTGGTTTTCAACCTGGGGGGTGGGGGGGGTGGAGGGGTCACAGCTCCCTTTGAGGGATCAAATAACTATATCACAAGACTGGCCTAAGACCATCAGAAAACACTCATATTACAGTTCATAAAGCAGCAAAATTATAGTTATGAAATAGCAGTGATAATAATTTTATAGTTGGGGGGTCACCACATCATGAGGAACTATATTAAAGAGTCACGGCATTAGGAGGGTTGAGAACCACTGGTTTAGATCAAGGTCTTCTGTAGCTCAGGCATGTCTCACACTATATAATTGAGAACTGCTTTGAAGACCTAATCTGCCTCTGCTGCCCAGTGCTGGGAAGACGGCCCTGCAAATACTTCCAGGCTGGGACTTGGCTGGTCTATGGAAAGGAAAAATAGATCAGTAAATGAGTATCCTCCAAATTCTCTAGGTTTTACTGTGAATTTACAAATGAAGTGGGACCTGGGTAAGAATGAATTCACTGACCCAGTGTAAAGCAGGTGTAGTCACAGCACAGAAAGGGATGGGCAAGGAGAGGGTAAAAGCTTTTCTGCTGTGAACAGTAGTTGGCATTAGAAATGAGTATTAAGGTAATCAAGTTTAGATTTTCCATAAATGTCTTGACTAGCCATTTCTCACTTTCACAGACTAGGCAATCAAGAATCTGGATAAAGAACTGAATTTTCATGGAACCAAATTACTGTAGTTATACTAGTTCAAGCAAAATAGTAGAACTGGATAAAATAGTGCAGCCCTGCTGAACTTGACTGTGTTTTCCAGGTTTAAGATATATACCCTGCGAGAAATGATGCAAATAGTATTTTGTGTACTCTAATACAATTCCCTAGTCTCTGGAGCACATGACCATAAATCAACTTTTTTTTTTTTTTTTATTTTTCAAGACAGGATTTTTCTGTAGCTTTGGAGCCTATATTTGAACTCAATCTGTAGATCAGGCTGGCCTGGAAAGGACAGAGATCCACCTGTCTCTTCCTCAGTATCTCTAGTAATTTCATAATCCATTATCTGTAATTGTGGCATGTTGAAAGAAAGAACAGTGGTAATATTCTTAATGGCTTCCTAGCCATTCATAGAAAGTTATCATCAGGTTAATTATTATATAGGGAAATTAGTCAAAAACATGCCTCTGTTGGAGAGTTAGGTTGGAGATCTTGGACATATTTACCTATCCTGAGAAAGGAACTGTAATGGAATTTTTGACTGGATCATTGGGCCTAGTGATGGTTTAGTTGCTTACAATTTTGTAGTTTTTAAACTTTTTATTTTCCTTCATAAGTGAACTCATAAGTACTTGCCATCTTTTGTTTTCTTTTCATGTGTATAATTGTTGAGTGATTCCATTTGCAAGCAGTTTGTTAGTCATTTTTCAAACTCAGTCATTTGCTAAATTATACCTCACTTTGTAATTCGCTTCCACTATGTATCTGTCTTCTCCTAGAATATAACAGATACCTAAAATTCATACTTCCATAGTCCTTTACAACAGGAATGAAACACCATAAAATAATCATTTTTTTTTAAAATTCAGAATTTGTTTCTTAGTATAGAACTGGCTGGAATGGATATTGATATTGTAGAATAGGCTGGGTTAAACCCACAGAGACCCACTTGATTCTCATAAAATCACTCTTTCGTCTAAAACTCAGTATATCTTTGAAGTTTATTATATATGTATATGTAATATATACTTTTTCTTTCCCTCCCTCCCTCCCTTCCTTCCTTTCTTGTTATATGATTACCCCACTACGTCAGCCTACTCAGTTATGGGATTAGAAGGATGATCCACAGTTTCTGGGTCTTTTTATTTTCATTGTGTTCAAAAAGAAAAGAAAGTCTTGAGGGGATCCTTACAAGTTTAGAAAACTTAAACAAGAAACTTAAGAATAGTAAAAATAGTATAGGAGAGAAAGCTGTGATGTCTTTTAGGGTTTCCATAAATCTACTCACAGAACTTCAGTCTTGGAGTATCTATTACTATCCTCCAGGAATTAGTGTGAAGAAGTACATTTGGAGTATGTGGCAGATGCAATTTTTTTTGTGTGTGATTTTTCGAGACAAGGTTTCTCTGTGTAACAATCCTATGTCCTGGAACTCGCTTTGTAGACTAAGCTGGCCTTGAACTCACAGAGATCCACCTGCCTCTGCCTCCCAAGTGCTGAGATTAAAGGTGTGTACCACCACTGCCTGGCTATAAAATCAGTGGAATTTTTTGTTGTTGTTGTTGTTTCAAGATAGGGATTCTCTGTTAAACAGTCCTGGCTGTCCTGGAACTCACTCTGTAGGCCAGGCTGGCCTCAAACTCACAGAGCTCTACCTACCTCTGCCTCCTGAGTGCTGGTAACAAAGGCGTGTACCACTACTACCCCCAGTTTTAGATGCCATTTTTTTTAGTTGAGAAATATCTCAGTTGAATATTTATTAGTTTCTGAATTTGTGGGACTTCAGTAAATTATATATTTCATTACTTAAAATTAAAAATTGTTAAGCCAGGCAGTGGTGGCACACGCCTTTAATCCTAGCACTCGGGAGGCAGAGCCAGGCGGATCTCTGTGAGTTCGAGGCCAGCCTGGGCTACCAAGTGAGCTCCAGGAAAGGCGCAAAGCTACATGGAGAAACCCTGTCTCGAAAAACCAAAAAAAAAAAAAAATTGTTTTTAGGAGATTAAAAAACTGCATGTTTTAGAGAGTAGGTATTGCTTCTAAATATTTTCAAGTTTCTAGCTATATGATGTTTTTTATTCCACCCATTCTGGAAATGTGTTCTCATCTGTTAATATATTTAATGAGTTTGTTAAGCATGCCTCATCAGAAAATCTGAAATCCTGTCAAACTGGTGAGAAGCAATCTGGATGATACAAGCATAGATGATAAAGTCTAAAGAGAAACCCCAAACATCAAAAGGTACTGAGAACCTTTGTGTAACACACTAACATTTTGGACAATTAGTACTGATCATTGGAAATAATTTAAGTTTTCTAGATATAATTTAATAATGTCTGGATCTTTTTATAATAGTATTCAGTGTGGCCTTATGCTTATTGAGGTACATTTAAACAGGGTTTTGAATTAACAATAGAGACTGCTGAGATACATTTGACCCTCATGTTGGCACTGAATTAATAGCATAAATGGGATCTCTATTATTACAATTTACAAAAAAAATATAAAATGGAAAACTACTGATAGGGGAGTCTGGAAATTCTCTCTGTGCTGGTAAGTCCTAAACTCAGAAGTGAGACAAATTGAAAACTTATTTGGTAGGGTTTACTATGGAATGAATTAGATTAAAACTTGGCTTTGATCCTCATAATACCTTCATTAAACCTTCCTCAGTGGTTAATTTTTACCTAAATAATTTGTAATTTCAAAGTGAGGATTGTGGACATTATAGAACCATATACAAGTATACCTCTCAGCCAAGTTGTTACATGCTAGTGTTTTACATTTAAAAAAATGTTCCAACATTAAAGCATGCAGAATTTTTTTCTGGGAAGAAGCTACCTCCCCCTTCTTAGGATAAAGGTTCTTCATTACATTTTAATAAAGGAGTTGAAATTTTGGTACAGAAATTAAGATACTAATATTTGTATTTCAGTAATTTGACTAATAAGTGTTTTGGTCTAGTGAAAATAGAAATACTTTTATTTCCATAAAAAAATTATGCTTTAAAACAACACAAAATTACATTCATTAAATCGTTGTAGGTGAGTTTGAGTTAAAAAACAGGAAATATTTTGTAATCAACAGAGTGAGACTGAAATATAGTCTAATTTTTTTGTATTGGTTTTTGTTGACACAGGTTTCATTTTAGTAGCCTTACCCAGTCTTGATCCTCCTGCCTCAGCATCCATAGTTCTTCTATTTTTTTTTTATTGCAGTTGCATATTTGTGTATAGGGGGCATGTGTAGAGGTCAGAAGTTCTCTTTCTCCCATCATGTAGTGCTTGGGGATCAAACTCGGGCCAGGCTTGGCATCAAGCCCTTCTACGCTCTGAGCTTTCTCACCAGCTGCTCAGTAATGCTTTTATTTTTTGATCTTTTTGCAACAGTGACCCATGCTGGCCTTGAATATACAATCCTCCTTCCTACAGTTTTGAAGTGCTGGAACATATCCATAATCTGTATTCATGTTTCAACTCCAGTACATTTCTGTTTTATTTTTGTGAGAAATTGTGTTGAGTAATATTTTATTGAATTTCTATTTTGTGATACAAACATTGGGATGGTCCACTTTGACAGTTTAAGACAGTCTTAAACTAATTTCTATTTAGCTAGATTAACAAGTATTAATGTAACATTCTTGAGGGCTTCAGTTCTACAAGTTATAGGAAAGTTATGATTGTTGTATTTGCTGAAAACAACTCTTGTGTGTATGCAGTGTGACTTTTGAATAGAGTGTCAGTTGACTGATGCTAGAGTGAGGATGACACTAAGCTGGTACCTTTGAGAAACTGTAACAAGTGGTGTAACACTAATTCTCAATCA